AGATCTTTAAAAAATGTTTTTTCCAGTGTCTGACTTCAGTACAGTTCCGTGCTAGAAAACAATCATTTCAGTGTAACTGATTAGGCACTTCGCTCCTAGACACAGCACTGTCAAAAACAGACACAAAACAAAACCATGTCGTAATAGGCTGGAGAATAGATAACAACCATTAGTCCTTACAGTGAAAATAAACCAGCCTGCACTCACTCATGACTGACTGAACCTATTTGTTTCGCAACCTTCCCAGAATTCTTTAATACAATAGGCAAAGCTATCTAGGATGTAAATAGCCTGGTGCAAACAGAACATCTCAGAGAGAAATTCGGCTCTATTTTTTCAAGTATGTAATTCAATTGTACACTTAAATTATTTCCAGTAGCCAAAACCAGAAAGTGAGCAAAAACTTTGCTGACCAAAATAATGCCCATAAAAATATGAACCACCACTACTTTTACTAGAACTGAGTTTAAAGAATTCTAGCACTTAACTGCCAAAAAAAAAGAAACAAATGGCATCATGCTGTCACCTTGCAAGGTATGTCTGAAGGTCAAAAAAATATACACACTTCAGATTGGAGATAAATTGTTTGACTCAAATTCAAATTCACTGAAATCACCAGCAGTACAGCAAGGTTAGATTTAGCTCAATGTAACTGAAGCTGAAAAAACACGAGATGTAGCTAAATTGATGGAATTTAGATCATTCCAATGAGTCGACTGAAATGTTATATATCTATAAATCAATTCACCATGTGAATGAGTTTGAATAGTCCTTTCCTCTGAAAAAAAAAATGTTACATTGAGAACTGCAATATATTCCTCACTCCAATTAACTGAAAAAGTTACAAAATGCAGTCCCAATGCCACATGAAAATAGATTCTAATTGAAATACATCTAGTTTCACTGTAGTAATCAACTATAATAGTCTCCTAATCTGCTCACACTAGAAGTTACAAAAATATCATATTTATATTCATATAAATAGCAGTGATCTTTATAATTACTTGTACCTGGTTACTTTAACTGTTCTCAAAATATTCTATACAGTAAGTTATAGTTGAGTAACATCTCACCCTATTCTTCCACTCAGAACAGAATGTCTTATAGGGTTTGTTCCAACCCTCACAAACTTGAAATTAATTTTTATACTGAACTGATAAAAGCATCACAAAAGCAACAGACGATGTCTTAATGCATAGCAAAATCCCAAATGGAAAAGGTGGGTCAGAATTGCCTGCATAAGCACTCTTCCTTGCTTATCACTAAGGATAAGGCAGCATGTACACAAAATAGCTTGGTTTTGAGCTTTTGATATGATCTTTCCAAGCAAGGAAGACATTTACGACAGTGTTCTGTCCATTATGGTCCATTAACATTACTGTATCTTATTAAGCTGAAGACTGCGAGAGCAATGAAAGTGAAATGAAAGTGAAGCCTTTTCTAAATGACAACTAAACACTGCCAAAAGATTAATGTTTAGCTATTCTTACTCTTCTCTACATAAAGTACCCCTCTGATCTGTATTCAGAGCAGTATCCCAGGCTGAATCAGAGTATTAGTGTATCACCTCTTTGTGTCAGAAAAGCTTGGGTTGCCTTAACTCATTCTCATAGTCTTCAGGAGACAACATGGAAATCTTGCCTCTCCTTTTTTCTATCTCCTGAAGCAGGAGAATATTGGAAATTATGTGTTTGGTGGACTTGATTTTCAATTCCCATTTTTCTAAGATCGACTTCCATAAAATGGAGTAAGTCCTGTAGCAAATGCCAGAGTAAGGAATATACTACACGTATTAGTCCAGGAGAATTCAAATGTATTTCTGACAGGTTTGCTGTTTCTGATACCATAAACTACGTAACACCAAACGTAAGTATATTTATGCATAATATGAAGCCCCTTTGTCATGATAAAGTATGTCATTGAAAGGATGAAGAATTTTTCTTTTAGAACATTGATTCTTTGTTTCTAAATTTTTTCTCTTTGAATAAAATACAATAAAATAATAATAAATAAAAAACAAACAAAAAAACAAGAAAAAAACACACACACAAAAAAAAAAACAACAACAAAAGGGCTAGTATGCCAGTTGTACATAAGTGAATGAAGGAAGATAAATCTCCAGGCATAATAATATTGGAAAGGAAGACTTTGGATAATTAAGAGGATATTCACTGAAATTAATAGATAACATAGGTTGAGACACTGTTTTGAAGAACATGAATTTCCAGATAATGCATTTGGGTAATCAAACCTGAACTGTTCTCTTTTATTCCCCCCTTTCTCTCCACAAAATCATGACTATTTTATTTTCAAAATAAGCTGCTGCATAACTCAAGGGATTATGTATAAGTCAGTACAAAATTTCAATTTGATCTTGATTTATAAGTATGTGCAAAATTACATTTGATGATGGCATGTCAGAGCAAAAACACATATCTAAAACTGAAAATTTATGATCAAATGTATTTATTTTTATTCTTACTGTTCTGTATTTTCACTGTAAATCAGATAAAGAAAAATCCATAGTACGTACTCCATTCTGTTACTGACAAGTCATATTATGAAAAGTGGCCTTTTCTAATAGAGATTTGACAGGTCAGGCCTAGGACCCTAAAATACAAAATCACATTGTTTAACTCTGTAAATAACATAAATGACACAGAATTGCTACTGTGAGCCATTGTTTTTGAAATTGTCATTCAAAAGATCTTTCTTTCAAACTAAAACCACTGCAAAAGCATCGCATTATTTGATTTAGACTGAGTAGTCCTCTAATTGCTGAAAGCGTCAATATTTTATATCACTATCTGTAACTGTTTCAAAATGTGTTAGGAAAATTTAGATGTGCCTGAAAATGTCGTATTTCTCAAATACTACCTCATACATAACTACTGACATGAAAGAAGGGAGTTGAATAATGATTACCATTACTTCATCCCTTTCTAGGTTTACCCAAATGCAAAAATTTGGATTAATAATGCTTTCTACTGAAACGTGAATTCAGCTTTGGCAATGGTGACAGAGGCTCCCTCTGCTTCTCTCAAAAAACCCTAACACTCTCCCCCCAAAAGCCCAAAATCATCGTCCAAGAAAAACCACACACAAAGAAGTACAAAAGTACAAGTGCAAATGCCTGCTCTTCAAACTTCAGCAAAAAGCTGGTAAGAACACAAAAAGGGTTGGTGTTAACTCCAGTACTGAACAGCATATTCTCAGGGTAACACAGTGGGAGCTTTTATAGACACATTTTGGGGTGGGTTTTTTTAGTAGCTTTAAAGAACTTGCTGCATTTTGCAGCAGACAACACATGTGGAAATTTTGTCAGGAAGAACAGCGTCCTGCCTTGAAGTATTCTTTTTTCATTCAAGATCATAAGCACTTTCTGGTATGGCTTAAGAACTGGCTAGAGCAGTTCACTGAAACCCAAGAACTCTGTCTTCTACTGCCATGAATTTACTACTTAGCTAAGAACAATTTAATTCAAGAAACTGCCTTACTGTCCTGAGCAAAATGGATATAATCATACCTTCTACTGCAGAGATAAAAACCCCACTGTAAATAGTTATTAGTAATTATTTTTAAAAGTTGAAGACATCAAAGGCAATTACTTAGACTTTCAAGAACTTAGAAGCTCGGTTCAACATGGTTCTTAAGCATATACCTAGTATTAATCAAGCTAGTAAGTATGTGAAGTAAGGGTAAATCAGGCGTTTTGTCAAAGTTCTGTTTCAGGACAGTACTCAGTTTGGCTGAGGAACTCAGAAATGATGTAATGCTTGTAGTCTATAGATACTGCAGAACTGAAATTCTGACTCATTGTCTTGAACTTAAAAGTCCATTGTATCCAGAACTATGCACTAAGCCTATTTTTAAGTTCTGCACTCCAGCAGAACTATCTTTGCTGCAGGATTTTTTTTTTTTTGGTTGACTGTCAAAACAGCTGTCCCATGTTTCTGTATTACTGTCTCTGTGTTACAATAGTAGTGAATCACATAACAACATTTTCCAACATGCTACTAAGTTTTATTGACTGAGTTCATTTGGGAAAGTATAAAATGCTGTCCTTTTCCTAGTTGTGACAAATTCTACTTATATTTAAAATCCTTTTATTTTTATTTTGCTTGGATTATGGAATTACCATGACACTTACTAAGAACTCTGGTATACAAGCAGCACATGTGACACGGAAGCAAATTTTAAATAAACTTTAGTGCCACTTCATGAAACTTTGATTAGTGAAAAAAAAAAAAAAAAATTTAAGAAACTTGTTTAAAAGAGAATCCAAGGATTTTTGAGTAGATGAGAATATTCAGTTGTATTTTTTACATTTATTTTAGGAATACAGCAAGACAGAATCAAAATATGTCAAAGCAGCATTTAATCGATGATATAGTATGCAATAAATTTGTACATGGATGATAAAAACTGAAACCACAAAACGGACAATAGAGAGTAAATTTGACTGAGACCTGTGGGAAAAGGGCTTCCAAACATTTTTTAAATAAATTTCTAGGGATCTCCAAGATGACAGATGTAAGGTCCTTCTGTAATGTGCTCTTTGCTCAATAGAGAAGATTATGCTTAAGACACATAGTATCCATTTACCTGTAAACAATTTCATTCAACAATTGGCATGTACATTTGTATTTTATCTAGTTCTGAATTTTAAGAAAGAAACTTATTTGTTCACTTTCACAGAATAAAAGTTAGCTAAGTGTTCTTGCTCTGGTGAACATGCCCATTTGTTACAATCTGAGTCATCCAAGACTAATATAGTAAAATACTCATTTTATCTAGCTCACCAGTGACTATTTCTCAGTGAGTTTTAGTACGCAGTTACAGAAGATACTGGTTTTATTTTCCCCTTTCTTAGGACAAAAGCAATCTATCAGCCTTTAGTTTTTTTGCTCCAATATCATATCACAGAACATTAATCACTGGCATTGTATCATCTTGCTTGACACTTTCTCAAGAATTTTATTGAAAAAGCCAATTCTTACCTCTATGGCATCACACTGTTCAAAGAGCATGCAATATCCTGATAGACCAAGCTGAGTCAGACAGTTAGAAATGGGTAGATACTTCATTGCCTATTCCCTCACCTCACAATGCCTTCAACTCTGGAAAAACAAAACCAAAATGTCATTACAAATACTATTGCTTAGGAATATTAAATGACTGAACAACTCAGAACTCATTCAATAGCATGGAAGTTCTACCATCATGGCCAAAGAGATTAATACTTTCTTGGCTGCTTAGTAACAAGCAGTTACCTATGCATTAGGATTATTACATTTAATTAATTGTTTCACTGTAATCCTCAGAGAAACAGGAAGTGTTGAAGACTATATTTTGTTTAGCTCTCACAGCTGATTTAATCTTTTAGAAGATGAATCAGAGTCACTCAATACTGTAGTACCAATTTTAAAAATACTCAGCCTTTGTACTCAAAGAGAAAGTTCCTCAATATGTTCGTTCAGTGACAAAGCCATTCTTCTTACATGTGTAACACTTAAGAATAAATGTATAAAATGAGTAGGAATAGTAAAAGGAGCAGCGTTATCTGTAGGAACATGGAAGAAGTGAACGAAGCTGTATATTCTGTTAGTAAAAATTAGAAAGATTCTGTGGTAGGTGTTTGACCAAGATGTGAACATAGCTAAAGTCAACCTGTTATGGAATATTTCTACGACAAAATCAACTTAGAGATTGATACATTTTGGTCTCCATCATGATGCCATCTGAATTTGAGAAATCTGTGCATAAAAATACTTTTTTGTTACTTTCTAACAATTGCAAAAATGAAATTAAAAGATATACATTAAGATGGACATGACAGACACATAAAATATTCTCCCAACATCACTGTTCTATGTAAGCAGTTATACAAGATCTACATGAACAAATACTAAAGCTTCCAAAGAACTGCTGAGTTCGTGAAGAGATTGCTATTTGCAAGTTTGAGCATATCCTAAATAAATTCACAGATGCCCAATTCAAAACCTGTAACCTGTGACCTGAACATTTCCTATTAGAGCACTAATGCCAGGAGCCGGAAATGCTCATGTTCAGACATGTAGTGTCTTTAATCATACATTTTTGATACATTTTTTTTATTTTAATATTTTCCTCTTGTCTATACTTCAGGAAAAGTACTTGCTCATTAGCTCTGTATAAATCAACTCAAATTATGACCTTCCAGACACAAATCACTTGTTCCAACACATCTGTGTACTCTGAACACGTGACAGGAAGCTGCCCAAAAGCTGACACATTATGGTCAGAAAAGAGCCAGTGTTGCTTTCTGTCAGATAAAGTTGTTTAGCATTTTTATAATTCTCAGAACACTAGAAAAGTGTTGAAACTTTTATTTTTCTTTTTTTAAAATACAAATCGCAAAACCAAAAATACTGTCCTGCAGAAAGGTAGGCCACAACAGCATTATTACCTGTGTTAAAGTAGAATACATTCTTAAAAATACTTTAAAAGCATTTAAATTAGAAAAAGTACCTTTAGTAAGATACCTAATGTTTTGAACTGGACATTGTTTTGGCAGACACTATGAATTTTGCCTCAGTGGTGAACCTGGGAAACATGTCAAAATGCTTACACTTCAGAGACGCACACACCATTACACTGTGGAAGTTATAATCATGGGATTTGTCACTTTGTGATTTACTAAAGAACAAACCTGATAATTTGCAAATCACGTTGCGAAAATCCCTCTATCCTCCACTGGAATACTCCACTATATTATTTGCTTTATTGCAGGCTTTTTTATTATTGTGAAAATACTGCAGGCTATGGATGACAAGCATACATCTAAAGAATGCTGGTATTACAATAACTAAGAGCATCTTGTGGAGTAACATCGATCAGAAAAATCTCAACATTTAATAGACACACCACAAAAGAATTTATTTGAGGAATGTTAAAGCCACAGAGAGCATTCTTATGTGAGGTGAGGACAAGCCCAGTCACTGAAATCTTTCATTTATTGGCTTGCTTTCAACAGGTACTTTCAGATTGCAAGATGGTCAGCATGAAAGGCATATGATTTTCAGAGAGATAAAAGGAAAACACAGCTAGTTGGTTAGGACATTGGTAAAACCATGGACGAATAGCTCTTTTCTGGTTCATATATTTCTAATTCAGACACAGACTTTAATTTTGTTGTCCTAAAGGAACTTGTTTTCAAACCTGTTCAACAACTTCACTAGGAATATATTTTTTAAGAGTATAGATTTTCTATTTCATTTTGAATATTTGGCTTCCCTGCTAGCGCATGACAATTACAAAATATCTACAAGAATCAGTGGGGAGTCACCATACTTATCATTCCGGAACATTCTGCACTAAGCATGAAAGGAATTCCACAGAGCAACATTCTCTTTAAACAATATAGTGATAAACAGTGGCTATCTAATCTTACTTGGCCAGCTGCATTTGTTCTGTTATTAATTTATATCAAGTTTTAAAAAAACAAAACAAACAAAAAACCCCCACTAATAACCCCCCCACCTCCAAGCCCCCATACAAAAGGAAATTCAAGTGCAAGCAGAAAATAACAACCTTATATGATGAGATACAAAGAGATACAAGATGCATTGCTTTCAAATGTGCTGCATTTACACCTCTGAATGTGATTATTTTATGACATAGTTTTGTGCTGTTAAGTCTTTTTTGACACATCCATAGATTTTTCCCTACTGTTTCTTCTTTCCTCTTACACAATATCCCAGAACTATCAAAATATTCTGCTGCTGATGTTGGCTTATAATACTCCAGACACAAGCTAAGTGATATGTAGTTACAGATTCTTAATTCACAGCTGTGATTTCATCAAATTAGCTTCACTGTAATTTTTTCAGAGCCGTTACGTGTGTATTACAAAGACACCAAGGCTGAGTATCTCCAAATCACTGTGTAGATACAGTAAGTATTCCATGCCCAACAATTCATCCTCCGTTTTCAGTCTCCCTTGGGGTCTCAGGCTGTAATATGTCAAGGAGAAAGCAATATATCATGGTGTAATCCTGTCCCCTCCAAAATTCCTCAGGTGAGTCAGCAGTGACAGCAATTTCATCTCATCTGGAAAGTAATTTCTCTTACTGTGCCTCTCCTACTTTGGTAAAATTTACTTGTACTGTACTTCCAAATTAAGACTAGCCTCCTGCTCTAACACAACCATTTACCAGGAAAAAATGATTTATTGGACATGTGCATGAGTTTTCTTAAGGATTTTAATCATTCGAACTTGCCATGCCTTCCTAACTAGCTCTCTTGCATCAAGGGCCCATCAGTTTTGTTTTCAGATGTACTCAGACTTGCTTTCATTTTCAGATGCACCTTTATTTTCCTCTGGCATCAGGGAAATCAACAAAGTCTCTAAATTACAGCCTCAATAAACCCGACCTTCCCATACAACATTCTGTACACCTCAGGTCCTGTATTGTGGCACTAATAACACTGACCAAAGGTCTGCTCTCTTTGCTGATCACATCTTAACTATTCATGCTTAAGCAAGCAATTCAGATACGTATTTCTTGAATGTTCTATGGCAATGCACGTTTGAATGGCAGAAAGTTTCTGCCATTGGAGTGTCAGTTTCTGAAGGCAGTAGAATGAAAAACTAGAAAAGCTGGAAGTGATCATCATGTTTGTGATGCCATCCCTCAGAGATTTTACCAGCTTAATACAAAAGAACTTCCTTTTGCAGCCCGGGCCATAATTCTATTTCTCCTCTTCCTTCTTTAAACAATTTGCCAAGTGTAAAGCATGTTCAGTACAGTTTAAGATGGTAAATCTGTGTATTTTGGAAAAATCTCAGAAGCTGACTGTTCTGTAAAAGCAATACTAAATGTAGAGTGGGAGAGTCAAAAGACGCCAGTCAATGACCCAAAGCTTTTTTCATCTCTATGGCAGTGATAACATCTCAGTAAGAAAAGTAACCACCTTCTCCAGAATTTGTTAATACAGTAATGGTAAACTGCCATAATTTCTTCGATATTGTTCTAGCCTACTGCCTTAAATAATTTTTTTCTAGTTAAGAATTAAGCATGGTTCTTCTAGTCTAATAACACTATAGGGTGGTAATGTGTTGATCAAAACCAGTATATTATAAAACCATCCCCATCTTTTCTGCTAGCCAAAAGGGAAAGGCATCTGTAAGACAGGGCAAGAGACAGAAGCAGCAGAAATACCTGAAAAGCAATCCATCAGCAGAATCAAAGCATCAGACACTGATCAAATACTGTCACTGCACACTCGACTGTCCAGAAAAAGCACTTCTTGGGCCAAGGACTGTGGCTGAAAGGACTGAGAAACTAAAGAAACTCCTTCTCCCTACTGTGTCAGTCCTCTTGTATTCACAGAAACAGAGCCTGGTACATTGCATATAAACTGGATGACATAAAAGATAAGCTACCACTTTATTTTTCTTCAGATAGGAACAATATGCAAACCCTTAAAGTTCTTGTTAACTCTGCAAGAAAAGGAATAATGGGCAACAAATACCCCTCATGTAATAATTACTACAATCAGATTCCATCTCTAGACTTCCATCAAAAAACATCTTAAAAGGGAAGAATTACCTACATCAGAAAATGTCATAGATGAGTATGTGACCTCTGTAAAAAATACATACAAAGGGGATCAAGGGTGGAGAGGGAAAAAGAAAGCATAAGAATACAATGTAAAAAAAGGTTAATTTTCTTACAACAGTGATAGTTTAACAAAATAAAACCAAGAAAAGTGATCAAAGTAGTACTTCTGATAAATTCCTGTTGTAACACGTAGAAATAAGATAAGAAAGAAGATAAGAAATAAGGAAAATAATGGAAAAAAAATGCAGATGATCCAATTATTTTACTTAAGACAACATAAAGATATGCAATTTAAGTTCAGAAAACCTGTGGCCTAGTAAAGTGAAGTAAATACTTATTTCTCTTGGAAACTAATTACATCCATACAGTCTGAACCTAAATTATTAATGTCTTCTGCATTTTATGAAACAGATGTGACATAAAATTATTCTCTGTAACATGCAAGCATGCACAGTTAAAACACTAGTAAAAGAGCCAAGGTGCTATCACAGTACTGGAAAAGGAGAAAATATGAG